TAATTTGTCCAAATATAAAAATTAATTTTTACGCTAATCGTTTTTTATGAAATTCTTGAACTTGTTCACGCGACAATCGAAATGTTGAAATAAAGAATCCAGTGGAATAGTCGTAAATCAGCAAGAATTTCTTCTAAAAAGAAATTACTTGAAATTCATGTACTTCTCACCTCGAGCAATTTTCCTAAAGCTTAATCAGCTGTTTACATTTTAACCGTAAGACGTCCATGCGTATAGGGATAGTTTCGTTGCAATTCATGGGAGGTTCGCGAAAGGAGGTAAACAATATAGGAGTCTATTAAAATTCCCTTTTCCATAAAAGGCACGTTATATCGGTTAGTAGCGACGACGAAGTTCCTTTTACACTGCACAGGTACCGACTTAACATCCCTTCTTCATAAAAAGACGGTGTCAGTCTTCTTTGTGCAGGCGGAAAGCAAGGACCTCGACGTAGTTCATCTTTCTTCCAGTTTTCATTAAAACATGTTGATCGATATCATTCTGGAATGTGCAATTACCCACAATTATCTACGTTGATTACTTTGTTGTTAATCAATTCCTATAGAAAAAAATAAAATTTATACTTCTTGTATGCCTGCATCATCATTATATTTAATTTTATACTGATATTATATTATATTATACTTAATTTTATACTGATATTACATCATGTTCTATTTAATTTTATACTGATATTATATTATATTCTATTTAATTTTATACTGATATTATATTATATTCTATTTAATTTTATACTGATATTATATTATATTATATTTAATTTTATACTGATATTATATTATATTATATTTAATTTTATACTGATATTATATTATATTCTATTTAATTTTATACTGATATTATATTATATTATATTTAATTTTATACTGATATTATATCATATTATATTTAACTTTATACTGATATTATATTATATTCTATTTAATTTTATACTGACATTATATTATATTCTATTTAATTTTATACTGACATTATATTATATTCTATTTAATTTTATACCGATATTATATTATATTATATTTGATTTTATACTGATATTACATTATATTATATTTAATTTTATAATGATATTATATTATATTTGACAACAAATAGAACACGAACGCGCGTTCAGCTATCTCGTACGAAACAAAATGAATGGTTGAATGTTAAATGCATTCGGTTCGCATCAAGATTTTCACGAAAACAGTGCTTCAAACTTACTCCAGAAATTTGAAACGTTAGCTTCAGCGTTCGTATTGTTATACAATGTATGCATATTTTCGGTTGGACACCTGGTACACGGGATCGGCCATCTCAATACGAGACGTAAGAGAAAGCAGCATCCCATTTTCCTCGGTGGTTTTCGGGTTGTCGAAGTTCGGCGGACAACCGTTTTGAATGTAGATGCTCATGCAATTTCAGCGAAACCTAAGAAAGTTCAATTCGAATGGCACCAAGCGGATGCCGACTACCTCTATGCGTGCAACGAAACTTCCCTCTTGTTCGAATGCGGTGGAAACTTTGGGAAACGGATTCGGCTGAAGTAATGGAGAGGCCAGAATCAAAGTTTTTCGCGGTCCATCCGTTCCGCCGTTTTGAGCTCGCAAGTATCGTCCTTGTTCGGAGCCGGCGGAAATTTATTCCGGCTGCATAAACACTCTGGATAAATTCCCTTCTGATAAGCAGTTTACTCCTCTTTAATTATTGCCCTCTGGCAAGCATTTCCGGCCATTAGAACTACAATTTATTACTGTTGTTTACTATCGATGTTAAAACAAGGACGATACTTTACGATTCTTTTTGCAACGTAAAATATTGACGAATCTTCTCGTCACTTTCCATACATATTCTCCGATATTTCAGTGCAGATAAATCTTTTTTCGGTTTCATTTTATCGACGTTCACGGAAATAATAAATAACCTCACGGCTTTAATCGACGTTCAGTCCAGCATCTTTTTGCTTCGACCTAGAAAAAAGTGTAAAACGGAGTTTTTTTCATAACACAACTGCACGTCGTATGAACCAGTTTAATTCGTAATATTGATTATTCAAATTGTATTTATTGCATAATTAAAGTACAAATTTTACGTCGAACTCTTATTATATCTTTTGAATTTATTGGAACAGGACTCAGGTTAATATTTTGCAATAAAATGGGTTATTATAATTTATTTATTTTCTGAAATAATCGGGCTTCATCGTATCATGGGGTACAGGATGATTCATTTTTTAGTGAACGTGCAAAGAAGAGTGCAGAAAATTTCTGTTTCTGATAAAATACATTATCCTTTATTGTAATACACACACGGTTTGTTTTCATTATCCTTATTAAATTCATTCCAACAGTATAATAAAAATATACGTACTAAATATATATATATATATATTTGTATCGCTTTCTTTACAATATTTTCTCTCTAACACTTTTCCATTCTGAATCACCGGTAATGATACTTGTTTACGTTTCCTTGAGAACGCACGTGATCACGGATAAACAAATAGTTGGGCCGTTGCAAAGCTTTTATCGCGAAGTAAATTAATATAAAAATTATATTTTCATTAAATATCATTTTCGAACTTTATTGCTGGATTAAGTCTGAAGTGGACTTTCAAGTACTTTAAATAAATAACGAATAAAGAAATAAAAGATTATATATATTCTTATATACTCACACAATTAGTATCCGTTTTGATTGATTTGTTAAGTGGGAAGCAATTTTCACTTCCACCAGAACAAAAATTGTGTCTGAATCTTCAAACATTTTCATCGATAAACACTAATATATTTAAATGCATAGTAAGCTTGGAAACTTTTCGAATTCTCACATATTCGTTCAAAAACGATTTCATGCTGAAACATTGTTGTCAACAAGCACACGATAAAAATGATGCATCAGCCTAATCGAAGGTTTGTCGCCAGCGTCATTCTCCCCTCGAAACGACCGAAAACGTATGCTAGTCTCTTCCTTAGTCGCACTAACACACCGTTTAACAACTAGCATTAAAATTAGAATACTGACGAGTTACACGCAAAATTATACTTTGTGCACGCTGGTCGTACAAGGACGTGTACAGTGTTCACCCTTTGCACTCGAGTGGTGACTACGAAGCGCCGCTAAAAATTGTTATATTAAATTAGAAAGCTGATAAAAGTGAAATTGTTGCACGAGTCGCAATACTCAATTTCGTACGCGGAAAATGCAATAAGTTGTATCAAATAAAAAACTCGAGCGATGACTCTGGAACGCGACTAAAAATTGTTACATTAAAATAATTTTCACATCGTGAAACCTGTTTGTGTTTAGAAAACTGTTAAAAGTGAAATTGTTGCACGAGTCGCAAGACTTAATTTTGTACGCATAAAACGCAATAAGTTGTATCAAATAAAAAACTCGAGTGATGACTCTGGAACGCGACTAAAAATTGTTACATTAAAATAATTTTCATATCGTCAAACCTGTTAGCATAAAATGCAATGAGTCGTGTAAAATAAAAATACTTTATGTTAAAAAAACGATATTGAATTTAGAATTAAAATGGCGCCGAGTGCAGAGGGTTAAGTTCGATCGAAGGACAGAACTCGTTGAGCATAGTCCCGATCTATACACGCACCTCGATCCGAATATTCCTCGACTATGATTAAGAAGTACTCGAACAATAAAACGTACGAAGGGATTTCGAAATTTCTAGGTGGATTATTCGTAGAGTCGACGATTATGGGGCCTCTTATGCTACTATGGCAAACACAGGCGGACGAAGCTTCAGCGATTTCATATTCAGGCGCATCAATACTTTCATAAATTATGGTTTCCGACCGGTTGTTGCGTCAAGCGTTTCCAAACTGGATTCAATCATAGAACTTAACAATTCTGTTAATCATTTTTCCGTTCATTATTCGGTACACGAATCGAAACGTTCTTTTGTGAGACTGCAATTTTACAAATTTTATGCCATCGATTTTAATACATTTTTATACTCTCGTATTAAGCGAGCACGATTTATTCACCGACTGGTTTTCATATCGATGCAATTTCATATTTGTCGTAAAAATCAATTGGTGAAATTAATTATTAACATTCTAAATAAAAGAGTGACCTCTGCCTGTTGCAATTGACGAGTAAACTTTTTACTTTGCACAAAGATCCACAATCTAGTCGATATGCGATATATTATATAAATAGATTGTCAGAAATTAAGTTATTGTTCAACTAATTCTTACATGAATATTTCGTCCATTAAATAGGATCAATGTTAACCGAGAAAACGATTCATTTTAACCGTATTGCGGTGTATAACGTGCATCATTGTGTCAATCCAGGATATCTCTCTCCTTGAACTAATTTCGGTAAAGATATAATTATATTACATTATATAATATAAAATTTAATTGAACTACAGATCTTTGTGCATTCAATGTGAAAATGTCTAAGGTACATATTACATGAAAATTGCTAATGCTTCTACCCTATTTTGACTACGAAAAGTCTGTTCGACAGTGAAGATATTTTTCCTTGCCTTCGGTTTTCGTAAAACTAGATGCAACAATAGGAATTTGCATAAAGATCCGCAGCCTATAGACGATCGATACTTGACACAGCCGACACGATTTTCAGAGACCCCCTCGGAGCATCTTGTGCACGTTGATTGGGACTCTCCGCGTAATTGATGAAAGTACGAATACCTTGTTAATAACACGGACAAGAATTCCGATTCACCGAAGGGACGATCACAATCTGCAGGCACATCGGGGCGCAGTAACTTCCTTAAAATATAGATCGACTCGCGTCGAATTGACGCGACGGTGGGTTTTATAAAACGCGCTGCCCTGTTTTTCCGTATAGACTAGATTCGTTGGAAAATACGCGCTGCATTGCCGTCAATAAAACCTGCAACATAAAAGCATATCAATCGTATCAAGCATTTCAAGCATATCAAAGTGCTGGGCAAAATAATAATTCACAGATTTACGAATACAGAGTGTCCCAAGAATGTCTCGCAATCTGGAAATGGGGAGTTCCTGAGGTCATTTGAAGCAACTTTTTCCTTAGCGAAAATGCAATCCGCGGCTTCGTTTACGAGTTATCGACGAAAAACACTGACCAATAAGAGGCGAGCACGACTGGCGCGTGACGGCCGAGCCAATGAGCGGAAGTGGACTTCGCGCGTTGGTTGACTGGACCGCCTCACGCCAGCTGATCTCGCCACTCATTGGTCACTGTTTTTCGTTAATAACTCGTGAACGAAGCCGCGGATTGCATTTTCGCTAAGGAAATAGTTGCTTCAAATGACCTCAAGAACTCCCCATTTCCGGGTTGCGAGACATTTCTGGGACATTCTGTATATTGAATCGATTTATAAGTTCGCGTGCTTTCATTTTTGAGTTAAATTTCTTGCGTAATAATACCTAACAGTTATGTCTCGTACGTCATCCGATTGCTTCGTTTTTCTCCTGTTGTTCGATTGTTTATTTATTCACAAAAGTGACAATTTCTCTCGAGAATAAGTCTCGATTCTTTTACGTGTGTTTTAACTCTTTACGGAAAAGAGAAAACACTGTGAACCGTTTTTTTAAGCAAGAGAGTTCTATTATCGTTTAATCTACAATCAAAACGTTGGAATGTGCGGATTTCTTTCAACGTCAAAAATATAGGGTAATATTTGCAGTAAAATTCAGATTTGAACAGCCGCCATTTCGTGCAAAGCGATTTTGTTTGCGCAAGGAAATGAAAGTTTGAATTAAATTGGATAGATTTCGTGTTCCTTTTTAATTGGAACGAGTGATTTGTCCAGATAGATATTATCTAATTAGGGTTTCTAGCGCAGGTACGTGTTCCACTTAGGTAAAAGTTGGCGAGAGATTACAGGGAAATATGAAGTAACAGACACGATGCATTGTGCGCATGTAATCGCTACTCCAGCTATTATCTAAACACCTGAAATCTGAGATTTTCATAGTTACGGAAAGAATCCTAACAGTGAATTCGTATCGGTGGAATACAGTGATAATTAATCCTCGGTTCGATGGCAAGCTTTTCAGAGATGCATTTGGGTCACCAAGCAAATTTTCATTATCAATCATTCCATGATTTTCAATAGGCTCTGCGAATGACACCGATCAGGTAAGGCAACCGGAACGTCGCGGATATGCGCGGAATCTATCTAGATCCAATAAATGCTACCAAACCAGTATCAATTCGCGGAATATTCTGTTTATTCCCAGTTACGAACAGCCTGCAGATTCTATGTACCCGCGGAATCTATGATCCCGATGACTAGATCAAAGTAGAATTTTAATTAATCTGAAACTCGTATGCCTGCATAGAAACCGGGAACGATTCGAGATAGACATCGGTACGTTAATGTAATAATAATAATCAAACTGCATGAAATTGGATGTGCTGTTTTCACATCTAAAACCGCGTAAAACCAGCAGTCTAGCGATAAGAGAAATTCTGTCTATCCACACATTTTAATTCCCAGAAAAGATTCGATTTCTGCGAAGCAGTCGAAGGAAATTCATGCTTCTACAAATGTTCGATTTAGTGATTCGTTGTAGAAGTGATTATGTTCTGTGCTTGTTTCTTGGTACCTGCTACTGTCCATATCCCGGCCCATCCGGCTTGGACGCGTTGTACTGCAACCGCGGGAAAACATCAAGGATTTCGAAGATCACGCCGTTCGTCCAACCGAAACCCGTCTGAACGTTGTATTCTCCGCCGCCGCCTCCTCGGCCAGGCATAATTGCGTCGTACTGTAATTAAAAGAGTAATTAAAGTAAGTAATCACGCGTTCTTGTTTCAAAGCGGCCGCCCCGGAGAAGTAATTAACTCACGCGGCGATCGTCAGGATCGCCCAATGTTAACTTCTGCTGTGGACGCGGGGGGTGGACGCCTTACACAAACACCTAATTATGCAACGCGCGACAGGAAAGAATGAAAGACAGAGACGGAATGAGCTGCATAGGTTTAGAGAACGGGCCAGGATCGAGGCTTGCGTCCGTATCGATCGACGCGGCAGTTATTCGATTCTAGAGTAATCAGGTAATTATTTTCTTCGAAAGCTCGAAAGAAGCGTTTAATTTTGTTAAATCAGATTTTAAGAAACGCTAATTTTATTCAGTGATATTGATAAAAGTGATCGATAAAAGCGATATTCGGTGATCTTCGATAAAATGTCACAAGAATGTTATTAATAATATAATACCATTAATGATATTAATAAAATAATACTATTAATAATAGCATTAAGAATATATTTATATAGATTATGAAGAAGAATATTATTATTAATGAGTATTAACTGTAATATAGTATATAGTAGTGCTATTATCTTTAAAAGCTTGAAAGAAGCATTTAATTTCATTAAATTACATTTTAAGAAACAATATTGCTAATTATATTCAGGGATATTATTCTTCGATAAAATATTATAATATAATATAATATAATATAATATAATATAATATATATATAATATTATAATATATATAATATATAATATATAATATATATAATATATTATAATATAATATATAATATAATATAATATAATAATATAATATAATAATATAATACCATTAATAATAATAATAAAATAACACTGTTA